CCCTGGCCTGCCTCCTGAGAGGGGACAAGAGGAAGGCAAGAGCTTGCTCTCAAAAAGGCCTGGAGAGCGCCTGGCTGGGCTGCGGCCTCAGCGTACTGAGAAGAGAGAGCTTGCCAGGAATTTCCTGGGGCAGCTCCAGGGTAGGCTGCTTGGATCTAAGGGTTACAGGGTGGCCTGGGCCCTGCCCCCCTCCTCTTTCCCCGGCACGTCCCAACCCTGTACATTCTTGGAATCTGTGAGTTGTGCCGTGTTCTGTGGGCACCGGGAGTTTGCTTTGAAACCCGTGGCACCAACATCTGTTAGCTCTTAGAGAACAGAAAGATTGACAAAGCACTGCTGGGGCAGGCGGTGGGGGAAGATCTTACATTCGGGAGTAGGAAGTCTCAAAGACAGAGGAAAAACCCCAACCAAACTCCAGCTCGCTCCCCAAGGCTGCTTTGATGTGGTTTTCCCATTCCCGGAGGCCTTATAAGGTATCGTGCCTGGATTCTGGGCTCTGGACTGGTGCTGGCCGCACACCCTGTGCCCGGAGGAGCTGGCCTCTCTTCCTGGGGCCCAGTGTGGGGCAGAGGAGGGGCTTTAGGGCCAGCTGATGGGGCACCACTGGGACTTAGGAAGGTGGCACATCTGGGCCTGAGAGGCCACCAAGCCAGGCCGCTGGGCAGGAGCAGCCTGGCCCCAGGTCTGGTGGAGCAGGGGCTCTGGAGACCCAGGAAGGTCTTTGATCAGAACTTGCAGAAGAGGCTGAGGCCCACTGTCCTGGAGGCTAGAGGGGAGGGGCCTGGGACCACGGGCAGAGTGACAACTAAGTAGACAAAAGAAGTGGAGGAGGGTGGCCGCTGCAGCCAAGCCCCACATGTGGGTTTCCCAGGTGCAGTGGTGAAGGGTGTGGGCTTGGGCACTGGCACTTACTAGCTGTGTGACCTTGGGCAAGTCACTTGACCTTTCTGTGCCTCAGTTGTCTCATCTGTAAAGCAGGGTAGTCATGGCAGTCCTTTGGAATACCTGAAAGGATTGCCACGAGGGGGAAATGCAGCCCCCTGAAAACCGTGTGCTGGGCAGGATGGGGCATGTTTCCAGGTGTCTGTGAAGGCACCTGGGGTCTGGCGAGTCTCTCGGCTCGTCCCAGCAGTGTTCTGGCCACCATATGATAACAATAGCAAGAGTAATAAACAGTAACTGCTGACCTGATGAACCCCATTTCCACTTTCAGCTGCCCTGCTAAGCACTTCACACGCAGTGACTTCCTCACTTCTCACACTGCCCCCCTCAGATATCCTGATTGCTGTCGCCCCTGTTTACAAATGGGGAGACTGAGGTGCACTAGAGATAAAGTTCCTTCCCCCAGGTGGTGCAGCACATGTGAGGCAGAGCTGGGATTTGAACCAAGGTCTGACCACCTCCAGTTCCATGCCCTCTGCGCGGGGGCTCCCAGTGGCGCCGTCGAAGGTCGGAGTGTGTCTCCCGGCAACAGCTGCCTTCCTGAAGGGTGGTGCCGAGGGCCTGGCCCTGGCCCTGACATGTGAGGCTGCCAGCCAGGGCTCAGCTTGAGGGCAGGGCTAAGTCCTCAAGTTGTGGGGAGCAGCAGGGGAGCTTTGAGTCTTGCTAGGCAGATGGGAGCCATTGACCACTCACCCACTGGAGCTGCTGGCTGGACTATTTTTCTTGCACTCCTTTAGGTGTGATCCTTGGTCCCTGGTAGGTGCCAGGACTCCTGGCTACCTCTGCTCCCATGCCCACAGGAGCCCTGGTTGCATGAGTAGGAGCCCGGGCTGAGGCACCTGAAAGAGCTGGCTTGAGTCCCCACTCCGCCCCTTGCTGGCAGGTGATCCAGAGGGGGTCGCAGCCTCTTGGAGCCTCTTAGCCATTTAGATGCAGGGCTGTGGGGAGGCCATTCTCCGGAGCCTCCTGTGAGGATCCCATTGGTCAGTACCTCGCACACTGTGAGCACTTGGTAAATGACGGGTGACTGTCATCAGCACTGTTTCTGGTCTCATACGGTCCTTCAGGGTTGAGGCCACTTTCTTTGTAGATAATAACGGTAACGATTATACCTCTCACTTTACAGTTTGCAGATCATTTTAATGAGCATCTATTTCTTGAGAGATGGAAAGACCAGGGCTGTTGTGATGATTCGGGGGGTTAACAAATACACGTGTACACAGTTGGCCCTCCATATCCATGGGCTCTGTATTTATGGATTCAGCCAACCATAGATAGGAAATATTTGGAAACAAAAAAGCATCCGTATTGAACACATACAGACTTTTCTTGTCCTTATTCCCTAAGCAATACAGTATAACAACAATTTCCATAGCATTTACACTCTGTTAGGTATTGTAAGTAATCTAGAGGTTATTTAAAGTATAGGGGAGGATGTTTGTAGGTTATATGCAAATACTACACCATTTATATATGGGACTTGAGCATCTACAGATTTTGGTAGCCTCAGGGAGTTTTGGAACCAGTTGCCCGCAGGTACCGAGGAATGACTGTATACATAAAGTGCCTAGCATGGTGCCTGACACATGGAAAATGCGCAGTAAGTGTCAGCTGTTTGGTTATTATTGTGGTTGATGACTGTGCCCATTTTACAAACATGTAGACTGAGGTCAAAGGCGAGGCAGGCGGTACTGCCAGGACGTGATCCTGTGTTTGGCTCCACATCCCACATGGCTTCTGGCCTAGAGACTCAAAGCTCTAGGAGCGTGCACACTGCACGCCGCAGACCCTGGCTGTGTGGCTCAGCGGAGGGGATGCTTTTTTTTTTTTTTTTTTTTTTTTTTTGAGACGGAATCTCACACTGTCACCCAGGCTGGAGTGCAGTGGCGCAATCTCAGCTTACTGCAGCCTCTACCTCCCAGGTTCAGACGATTCTTCTGCCTCAGCCTCCCGAGTAGTTGGATTACAGGCGCCTGCCACCACGCCCGCCTAATTTTTTGTATTTTTAGTAGAGACGGGGTTTCACCATGTTGGCCAGGTTGCCTGACCTCGTGATCCACCTGCCTCGGCCTCCCAAAGTGCTGGGATTACAGACGTGAGCCACTGCGCCCGGCCGGGGAGAGAGAATTTTTGCAAAGTTGAGCATTGGCACAGCACAGTGCATCCATGGACCATGGCTCCAGGGAGCTTTCCAGTGTTCTTCAGAGCAGGGTGCTGTTGAGTGCTGAGAGGCCTATCCCGGAACTTGCCAGAACTCTGCTTTCTGGGTGTGTCAGAGAGCTTGGTCCTCTGAACAGGGAGTGCTGAAGCTGTCATCGGTGATGACCGGGGTGCCTTGAGCACACGTGGTCATCGTTATAGGGTCCCACACGGCTGCCTTGTTGGTGGCAATGTCTGGAGTCTTTAAACTCTTCCAAGTGTGCCAGTAAAAAGACACGAGTACTCAGACGTCTCATTGATGCTGTCACCCGGCTGCGGTGCAGTCAGGGTGGCAGGCGCAGAGCCCCCCTCTGCAGAAGACCTCAGCGTGAAGAGGTGCACAGATTCTCTTGAAGACTGTTGCCTGTTCCCTCGAGGAAGCTCTGCCTACCAGCCTTTCAGGGGGTGGCGGCACCCGTCTTTCTCCTGCATGAAAGATGGGCTTTAATTGGCTGCTGGGGCGTCCCAGCCATCTAATGATGCCACCTGTGTGCATCCTTTTCCTGTCATCGTCTCCCAGCTCCCCTGTCAACTCGGGCTCTGTTAACACAAACAGCCAGTTTACAAGCCCAGGAAATGTTCGATGATTATAATAATTGGCGGAGGAGGAGAGGGAAGCCATCCTGACTCGAGGAATAAAGTAGCCTGGTTTTGAAGTAAATGGGACACCAGAGTCTGAATGGCCACATTTTAACAGCTTTTAAGAAAGAGTGTGTAATGCCCTAGAAAGATTTGAAAGAAGAAAGAGAATAGCCACAAAATGTTAGCTGTTTGTCTTTAAAACAAAAAACAAAAAAAAAAGCAAGAGGCTTACCTCCAGCTGTGTCCAGTTGATGAGATCAGCAATACAAAGCCGTGTTTTTCTTTTGTTCATCAAGATGAGGACTGGCTTTTTTTTAAGCATCATTTGAGGTGTAGAATTTTTTTTTTCTCCCAAGGAAAGGGTTGGGTGTTTTTTTTTCCTCTCTCTCTTTTATTTTTACAAAGAGAAGTTGGTGACAGCTGCTGAGTTTGGGCTTTTTTATTGCTTGTCATTTTGTGTTTTGAGAAGCACTACCATAGCATCATCATCCCCCCAAACCCTTGTCTGTCCTCCCATAACAGGAGTATTTCCTAAAGCGGGTTTCTTGGGACACGAATCTTGTGATGCTTTTGAAAAACGAAGCTCCATGGTCTGAGTAAGTTTGGAGAATGCAAAATATGCCAGCACTTGGAGATTCACAGTGTTTAGAACCATAGTAAAAGTCCTGATAAGTCCTGCTGTAAGGGATCTTGTTTAACTTTGTTTAAAAGAACCTTCTTTGATCATAGAAGTCTTCTGGCAGAATACCAATAAATACAGAAGACAGTTTGACAAGGTATGGTCTAGCTTCTTCCATATTTGGAGTTATCCTGCTAGGGTGGGTCAGACAGATGGGGCCTTTGTTGATATCCTAGAAATTTCCCAGCTTGTGGACCAGCAACACTCCCCTCGCTAACTTGATACCTCCTGGTCAGGTTAGTTGGGATGAGATCCCAGATATCCTTAACTCACTGGTGGGGAACAGGCAGGGTGAGTGCAAGGAATCAGGCTGGTTTCCGGAAAGCATGTGTGTTGGTAAAATATAGGAGGCATGATGGAAGACCAGGTGGAGCCATAGCCTGCAGGGGCCTAAATGTTGTGCTGACACGTGTGCGTTTATGTTAAGGGCAGGAGGAACCCACCTTGGTGCTTAACTTTTCAGGTGCGATAGGATCTGCCTCAGTTGACCTGAATTCCCATCAGAAGAATCAGCCCAGGGTCTTCAAGGCGCCACTCTTAATGTCTCAGCACTGGACTCCCCCTAAACCCTGCTCAATGCCTCTGCTTTGTCTTCTAGGAGCTCGTGGGCGACGTGTTGAGAGACACGCTCAGCGAGGAAGAGGAGGACGACTTCCGGCTGGAAGGTACTCGGAGTCCATTGCTCTCTTCTCAGCAGCAGCGAGTGGGGGAAGCCGGTGTCCAGCTGGCCGTGTGCCCTGCATATTCCAGAAAATCTGCAGACGGAGGGCACAACAGGGACCTTGTGACTCTGGGTGGGGGTGGACTAGAGGGTGAGATGGAGGAGAGGAGTAAGACTCAGATGTGGCACTTCATAGGTCCAAGCCCAAGTGGAGGCCTGGTCACCTAGGTCCACGACCTGACCCTGCACCACATTAGCTGGGGGACTTCGGACAGGTTGTTGAAACTCTGCTGCTCCTCTGGGGATAATAAGAGTGGCTGCTCAGAGTGGTGTGTGAAGTGTGATCAGGCAGTGCTGGGCATGGAGTAAGCATTACACACAGTGCCTATTCCGTTTCCTCCATCGTGTCACTCCCTTGGCGCATGAGTGCACACACACACACACACACACCAGCCTCTCACCTCTCTCCTGTGTCATCCTCCTTCCTTTCTTGAGACGGGGTCTTGCTCTGTCACCCAGGCTGGAGTGCAGTAGGTAATCATTGCTCACTGCAGCCTTGACCTCCTGGGCTCAAGTGATCCTCTCACCTCCGCCTCTCAAGTAGCTAGGACTACAGTTGCACGCCACCATGCCAAGCTAATTTTTAAATTTTTCTGTAGAGACGGGGTCTCACTATGTTGCCCAGACTGGTCTTGAACTTCTGGCCTCAAGCAACCCTCCCACCTTGGCCTCCCAAAGTGCTGGGGTTACAGGCATGAGCCACTGCACTTAACTGCTGCCTTCTTTCTTCATGGTGAAGGGCCGTGTTGTAGAGAGAATCAGGATACTCAAGTAGGGGGTCTGCTGGCTGCTGGTGTGCTGGTTTGACTTTGGGCAGGCCACCCCACCTTTCTGAGCCTCAGTTTCCACATCTATAGAATGGGAACAAGGCCCTTTGCCCTGCTTGGCTCCCAGAATTGGTGCCGGGAACGGATGACAGCGTGAAGCAGAGTGTTTGCTGAATGGGAAATTTTAAATTCAGAAACGGGAAGAAATCACCAAATGGAGGGCTGCCTTATGAGAGTAAGGAAGGACATTTCTGCTGAGACCAGGCAGACAGCTGGCTGGAGAGCTGGGGGGCCATGGTGCAATGGTCTGCAGAGGGGGATCCAGGCCTGCAGGTGTCCGAAGGGCCGCAAGAGGAGAGCAGACCGTTCTGGGAAGTTCTTAAGGGGAGCCTGGGCCAGACCTGAGGACCGTGGCCACATCTGGCCTGAGAGCTGTTATAAATATAGAATCTTCACTCCAGCCCAGGCCTACTGAATCCGATCTGCATTTTAATAAGCTCCCCAGGTGACTTACATGCACACTACACTCGGAGAAGCACTGTTTGAAGATACTCACTCCATTGCCTAGAAGTTAGAGGCAGGCTGGAGAGCCAGGTATCTAGCAAACTTTGTTCAAATGTAAGCAGGCCCCAGATCAAGGGGGAGGATTCCTGTGAACAGAAAGCTTTGTGTGTGCATACAGTCTGATATCTTCTACGTAAAAGAAGGCACCAGAACATCCTTAGGAGTTTCTTAGGGTACCACATATGCATATGACTGTGTGGATAGAGGCCTAGACAGATGATAACCATAGCTCTTTCCAAACATGGGAGGAGACTTAAGTCTGTGTTATCTGCATTTCATGGTTAAACTTTTATAAGAAGAACATAGTTGGGCATGGTGACTTAAGCTTATAATCTCAGCACTTTGGGAGGCTGAGGCTGGAGAATTGCTTGAGCTCACAAGTTCAAGACCAGCCTGGGCAACATAGTGAGACCCTGTCTCTATTATCAATAATTCTAAAATTATATTTTTTAAAAAAATCAAAAAGATAATTATGTATTCCTTATGAATTTAAAAACTAATATCAGTATTTAAAAGTGAAAACCGTAAATAAGGCAGCAGGAGCAGAGCTGCTCTGGTTTGAGTCAGGTGGGCATTTGGACCTGTCCGTGTGGCCCTTAAGACCCCATGAGGGACCCTGGACCCAGTGGCCATCTGTGGTCCTCTGGCACCCTTGGTCCTATGGTCCGAGGCTGCCCACCCCAGGGTGGGCAATATGGTGTGGATGGCAGGCCACCACATGGCTAGGTCTGGTGAGAGCAGGTGCTACTGAGTTCTGGCCACAGAAAACCAACTGCCTGCTCTGGACCTGGGACTGGGGGGTCCCTCTGTGCTACTGGCCAAGGGAGAAAAAGCTGAGTCCTGAATCTCTTCTTTGTCTTCCTGTTGGCCAAGTTCATTGCCTCTTGGCGGGCTGGAGAGCTGTTTAAGAGAGAAAAAAGGCCATCTGAGGCGTGAAGATAAAAAGAAGTCTTTTAGCCATCCCAGGAGAGGATGGCTTTAGCTCCCGCGTTGTTATGTAAAGCCGGCCCTAATCCAGCGTCTTAACCGCCTTAACTGGCCAGCTGGGAGCGGGAGGGATGGGAGATTAAGGCTGGGCTTGGTGCGAGGGCCAGGGCTGCAGAGCTCCTTTTGAACTGGGGAAAGAACAAAGTAAACATCAAAAGTCCCAAGCTCTGAGAGCTGGCTGGGCGTGGCAGGGCTGGTGAGGTGAGGCTTTTGTGGGGAGGAGGGGAGAGGGCCCCCTCCTCAGCTGACCCAGCTAGGGTCTGAGGACCAGGGAAGGGTGACCCCATGCTCACCTTCAGCGCACACCCGGCCTCCCTGCCCCACAGCTGGGCAGCACTCCAGGTAGTCGCAGCCTGTGGCTTGGGCCCCACGGGGAGAATGGGTGCCAGGCCGTGTTCTCCTGCATGGCCTCCAGGAGTCACTGTGTCTGAGGGTGCTGCAGCCACTGCTTTGTCCCCATCTCCCATCTCCCTCTCTCCAGGAACCCCCTGCCTCTCACCTGGTGAACCCTGCCCCCGCCCAGCTTCTTGGCTATCTCTGTGTCTCACCTCTGGGCCTTTGCTCATTCTCCCTCTGCGTCCTCAAGTGCCTGGTTCCTATCTCTCCACTTCCCGGCATCTTTCTCTAGGAAGCCCCCTCTGCAGGGTGCAGTCCAGCCTGCAGGGTCCCTGCTTCCTAAAGGAGATGCTACAACCACTGAAGTCAGGCAGCCCCTCCTCCCCAGGACCAGGCCCAGGCCTCCCAGCTTCCCGGGCAGGCCTTGCTTTGCCCCTGCCGCCCCCTCCCCACTGGCCTGACGTGCAGACGTGGCAGCCCTTGGGGTGGTCTCTGCTTCCTCAACCCAAGGGTGGATGTGCCTGGAGTTGCTCGTTCTGCCCAGCAGGGAGCAGTGCTAGGACCGAGACCTGGTGGGGGCTTAGCAGCACTCTGGGAACTCAGGTCCTGTTCAGCTCTGCAATGGTCCCTAACTTTGCCTTCCTCATCTCTTGTCCCTTCATTCTGACTTTTTATGAATTTGCAGCTCAGACCCCATTCTAGCCTGGCTTACCCACACTCACTATGTGACCTTGGGCGGCTCACTTCCCTGTGGCTCAGTTTCCTCACTGGGTTCCTTGTAGCACTTCTTCGCCAGGGTTATCGTGAAGACAGTGAGGTGTTGGATGTAAGTCCCAAGGGTGGCCCTGGTACAGAGTAAGTGCCCAACACACTTGAGCTGCCATGATTCTTGTTTCCTGGGTTCAGTTTTCTTGAAGAGGCACCAGCCTATGTTTATAATCATTTACCTAGCCCAGATCAAAGACGGCCTCTTTGCAAAGCTTCTTTAATCCTATTAGAATCTCCAAAGGCCTCCCCGTGCTCCCGGTGCCTGGAGTAGGGTCTGGCATGCTGTATGTGCTCAATAAATAAACACTCACTGAAGAAGGAAAGTCAACACCGTGTAGTCACTGAAAGTAGGCGACCCCTCCCTCTGCCTCACTGAAAGCAGGTGACCCCTTCCTCTGGCCTCTCAGGCAGGTCCTATGTACCTGTGTTGGGGCCTAGGCTAGTCCGTCCAGGCTCCCAGAGGTCAGATGTTGAGCAAAGGGACTTGGGAGCCCTATAGTCTCTTTCATTGGTAGTTGGAAAACTAAAGCCCAGAGAGGGGAAGTGACCTGTCCAAGGTCACACAGCAGACTGAGAACAGAATCTGGCCCCTCACTCCTCGCCATTCGGTATGTGCTGGGCATTTGCTGCAGCTAGGGGCTCTGCTGGGCCCTGGGTTCACAGTGAGCAAGGTAGGCAGGCCCATTGGTCACAACATTCACAGGAGGGAGGCAGGGATGAATATGTAAATCTGCGAAGGAGCATGGAAGTTTCTGGTAGTGGTTCTCTGCTAAGAGGTAAAACCCAGGGAGAGGTAGAGTGAGGAGGCTTTTCTGAGAAGGTGATGTTTCACCTGAGATGCAGATGTCAGGAAGGAGCCAGCCATGGAAGAATGTAGGGGGAGAGCAGCTAGGAGGAGTGAGCAGAACCCCAGGGTAGAGGGAACTTGGTGTTTGGGGAAGAACAGAAAGGAGGCTGTTGTGGCATCAGGAATGAGAGTGGGGCGGTCGTCAAGTGTGGGACCACGCACTTGGGTTGGAGAGGGTTGGGTGTGTGACTGCTGGATTCTGACCTGTTTTAAGAAGTGAATTCTGGCTTCTGGGAGGGACTGCCCATGGGCAGGGAGGAAGGGGGCAATGAAACCAGGAGGTGATTGCAGGGTTGCAGGCGAGAGGAGATGGTGTTGGTCTAGTTTGGGAGCTTGGGGCTGGGGAGAAGTCCATGAGGCTAGGGGTTGGAGCTGGTGAGAAGGGAGTTGAGGGAATGACAGAGATCAGGGATGCATCTTGGACTTTTGGCTTCAGGAACTAAGGATTTGGCAGTGTCACTTCTGAGGTGGAGGTTTTGGCAGGTGACCATCAAGTCTCCTGTTTTTGGACCTGTTGGGTTCAAGATGCCCATTTAACATCCAAGGAGAGGTACCGAGGAGACCGTGGGATACCTGCTGATTGGAGCTTGGGGTTCAGGGAGCAGTTGGGCAAGAAACAGAGAGAGAGTGAGTTAAGACTTCTCAGGAAGTAGCCATGGACATTGCCCGGGACTC